AGACACAAGAGAATGCCTTATCGGTTGGTCTGAAGTTTTGTATCCCGCCATCCCATCGGTTCTGTTACAAATAAAACCCAGTTTGATTATTTGTTTGTTCAAATGAGACGGTTAGAACCGTTGTTGATAGAAGGGCATAGTTGGTTTGTAGCACAAATGGTTGAGTTGCCTCACCAGTGCAGACATCACTCATCAATGTTACAACCCTCTGATAGAAAAAGACAAGAACTAACGCGAAGACCACGAGCAGTGTCTGTCACTAACGAAAGCAACAATATCGCTGAACGGTACGAAAATCAGACGGCAAGTTCTCAGAGTTTCGAGAATTCTGGTGGGCTTTCAAATTCTCCAAAAATGGAGAATCCATTTTTCTTGGCAAATAAGGCCAATTCTTGGGGGGAAAATGTCTTTTCCCAACGTCAGATAAGGTTATTTACTGACAATGGTGTGCCTAAGAACAATAAACAATTTAAAGGGATCAGAGTCTCATCTTTCTGTCTTCCGACAAAAGGTCAGACATGGTCATTTTCAGCAAGACAAATAACGTGACTAAGATGGCTTCTATTTTTTTCGACAGTGGCGAATTCTACCTAAATCAGAATCAGAAGGTTGTAGTTCAATCGATAGAAAGAGGTAGTAGATTTTAGGTTGAAAATTACTCACAGTTGATCTCAGCTATCGCATTCCCATAGACCTTCCGGTCATCTCATTTCGAAAAGAAACATGTGACTCGTGTATCGCTGTTGTTGGAGCTCACCAGTAGTGCGTATCCATGTCACGGCTTGAGGAGTTTATGGGAATGCGACGGCTGTGATCAGTTGTGAGTGCTGTCCAACCAACCAATCAATCAACTAAATCCCCTACTACTACTATCCGGTACTTATAATATCATTAGATAAGTTTGCTCATTTCTGATTTCAAAGTAGATGAAAGTCCTAATCGTGGGGTCACCGACTGGAGTTAACAGAACAGTTAACCCATATCCTGTCGAGACGATCTAGCAGTCTGAGTCTTAGTCACAAACCGAGGTAACTGGGCGTTTGCGTATGAAAATTTAATCATGTCCAAAGTAGGGTTAATGACGGTGGTCAACACTCTCGCCCCATAAAAGCGTGGATAAACTTCTAGTCCCGGAAATGGCAAGGATATGTACTACTGACGACTTCTAACAAGAGCAAAACTCGAATCTAGTACTTCTTTTCGAGAAGGACTGATTGGAAAGTCTCTGAGAGTGCGACAACTATGGTCAACCATTAATGGTGTTCAACTTATATCAGTCGGCTTCTTTAATACTTACCGGTAGTATAGGAACTTGTCTGGTGGCTTGATTGATCAACCGGTGTACCAAGAAGTTGCGCCCGAGTGGACACATATCGCACATGTAAGGTCTCCTCAAAGATGTGTAAGTCTGGAATTCTGCTGCGACAAATTCTGCTGATGACGACTTCACCTTGTCACAGTATGGCGAAATGGTTAGTAAAACTCCTTGAGCCTATGAGAACCCACTTGTGCATGTGCACCTTAAAGGATACTTGAATTTGTTGAAAGTATACGCAATCTAAATGTTATGGGGAAGGTGGCATATTTCAATGTGTAGTCTTTGTTTATCAGTGTACCTCTGGTTGAAGCGATTAACACTATTTATGTGTGTATGATAGAACATTAAATTAAACTTCACTTAGTTGTCTTTCGTTCATGTATATTTCTTACTGTGTGCACTAAAAACATCAATTCTTTATTCAGCGAACAATGTCGCCAGATGGCTGTTGCCCATGTGGGTATTTCTCTTGGGCCGTGGCTCATCCGTATAATTACATTCTTTCTTGGAAAGGTAGTGCATGATATCGTAAGGTTGGCTTGTTTGTACAAATGAAACATAGACAGTGTATTTGTATTTCACAAATCAAACAGTTATATTAAATCAACTTGCACGCATTTCAACAGCTTGCATCCCAATATTAAGTTTGCTACTGAACTCAGGAAGGATCATTTTTGGCTTACCAGGTGTGGGTGGGCTTCTTTCATAGAGGTATTCAATGAAAAAAGATGTGAAATGGTCAGTTATTGTGCCTCAGAGGTTCTACATCAGTTACACAGAAATGCAGGTTCATGTATGCATTATGTGACCAGATCTGTTCGGGTGACATTATATCTAAAAACCTCAATTTTAATGAGCAAATTTTCATCTAAGTAAGTTACCTCTTGTTGAAAGATATTGGAGATCAATCCATGTGCGACCAGCCGTTACAACAGTATCTCGCAAGCATATGTAATTGTTATTCCTCAAGAGCGATGATATAGCACTCTTGACGACACGAAGACTGAAGTCAGTACAGAGCGGCAAATATACGTCAGCTAAGCTCATTGTGCTGTAACTAACAACGCGCGTGCCCTCAACCCGAGCACTCGCCAAATCAAACCTTATTCACGAATTCACCTGTACATGCGAGCCACAGTACATGGTCCCTATTGCACACTCAAATATCCGAGCACATCCCGAAATGCTTGTTGGGTATCAATACTGGAACAGCGGAGAGTACCGTAACAAAACACTTGATCCAATCCGGTCAAACAGTAGATCTTTCAAAGTTACTCTGTATTGTTTGTTAGACTATAGACAAACGCCCTCTCGCTTCTTCCGAGGTATTAGCTGTACACCTTAAGAAACCACGTTTGTGTTTCCAGATGCAGAAGTTGATGAACTTAGCACCACCTTGGTAATTCGTAGTACAAGACGTAGTCACTAATCGTATTTGTATTGCTTCATCTCTCCATCGTCACACGTTTGTTGATTTTCACAGTTTCCCTCTGTGTTCATTGTGCACTTGATTTAGTTTGCTTGGGTAAATCCAGCATGAATTGCTGATTGAATTCTCTTCACTTCACTTGCGGGTCGATTGGTGTGCACATGACGTTTCGCAACCAGTTTCTCTCAGTGACCGCCAGCAAAGTGGTGAACAGCTGTTTCGACTTGGCTGAGACTGACCTGCATCACGAACGCCGGAGATTCGAACCCACGACCGGTGAATAAGCGGCAGGCTATAGTTCAAATGGTCCAATCACTTATCCACTGGACGACGAAGTCTTGGTCACCGAGATATGTGAATCAGTTTCCTTAGCTGTCATACTGCTTCTCGTTCATAGACTAGAATCAACATCCTTATTGGTTTATAGGCCAACCACAAAACGGCTGATCGCTTGCAACCTATGGGCGAATGGAAGCGGTACAGCTAAGGGACATCTGAGTAACTTACTTGTCTGCCTCGCCAGACGGCACTCATCTACCCGATTACATTGTCTGTTCCGTTTCCTAGCCCATTGAGAAGGGAAAAATCTAAATTTTCGGACGTCACGAACGCCCCTAGAACCGAACCATGATTGCTAACTAGAAGCATTACTATTTTGCCCGTACGTCCCCATTTATTTACCCATCCGGTTATCATTTCGTGTATTTAATTGACGAGAGCGAGCGGCCTGTTGCCTGAGCATCAACAGCCTTCTGCTTGCTTGGTAATTCCCCTATATCGTCATTATCATAGACAGCAATACATCAGTGGTTCACACATGCTTAACTG